CCACTGATAACGTATATCTTTACTAACTTCCGGATATACTTGTTTCTACCCATCTTTACCCAGCATGCACCCAGTCACTTCCGTCCATTGGTTACATTCATTTTCCTACATGTTATGAATAAGAAAGTATAAAGGAAATGAAGAAGAAAATTCCTAATTTGAAATCAGAAATTTGTAAATGATGAACTTGATTTCGAAGTAATCCATTTGGTCTCAAGTGAACGAATTACTTGTACATGTACTATACTTGGGCAGTTTACATGTATTTAACGTTCTGCTCGTCTGTTTCGGACACTCCCAGACGTGCAACTCGACAAACGTTCGATATGATTAACAAGACTTGTATATTTTCAGAGTTTTAAGTAAAGTTTCACCTGTGTGTCTGTGTGTTACTTTCTCTTTCAACGTCATAATATAATCGAAGGTTTCAGTATGGCGATGTACTGTTTCCCTGCAAATTTCATACTATCGAAGTCAAGACGTAAGTTAAGACTCCTGCTGAAGGTCAGAATGTCGCGATTGAGTGTCCGGGCGGTAGACCGACTATCTGTCTGCATGATTATCCTTTTTATTTTCTATATATCGACCTAAGCATAAACATGCTTAGGTATATAGACAAGATAATGATAGTATAAACTGAAAACCAGTCTTTGTCCAGGAGTCTGTAGTTGTTATATTCCATGGCTCGTTTCTTAGGGTATTTTGTGGGGAGAGTTTACTTGGAAATGAAATCCATAGCGTATGCCGAGGTTGCCCGATTTCCCTACCTGTCCGACCTCCAAAAAGTTTACTTTCACTTTGGGTACTGTTTACATGTTAACGCTGTGTCCGCCCATGTTGTTATATTTATTTATGGAAGCCGATGTTGAATTATTTTAATGTGTATTTCTAATTAATTTCAATGCGTTTTACTGATTATAATTGACACATCAGCCTCAATGTGTGACATATATAATAATATAAGTTGATCAATAGTAAAAAAACATGAAAGATAATACTACATTTTAAGGGAATGAAAATTTCCTGTGACATGCTTGTGTTTCGTCAATTCCCGGGTCGAGAATGAGACTAGGAAGTAACTTGTAAGTTTGAGCTAATAAGATCAGTGCACGCACACATATGTGCTAGAGAAACGACACAGTTACTCATTATGTGTTACGTAACAGATAAGACCGTCATCATTTAAATATCCACTCAACATTGTGAAGAGACAATACCGGGAAGTTACATGGATCGTCCACTACATAGAAATGTTCAAACATTGAACCTGACATGCTTTGTATGATAGTAAAAATACTCAATATTTACTACTTTTAAGGAATTCCTCAACAATTAGTATTGTGGTGTAATCTATTTTTGAAAAGTTCGTTTAATATGGGGTTAAGCACTTTGATTTTGCGGGACACATTTTCGCCGTTTTGGTTTCGGGAACAAATTCAGAGTTTAAATTGACGCCTGTTGTTGTGATCCTCACACTTAATACGACATTATTATAACGTTAGCATGTAAAGCGGCAAACCTTCTCCCTCTGATATTTTTATATGAATTCTCCAAATGTCGAATTTGTCCTCTCCTTGTTTAAAAAAGCAACATCACTAAAACTCTATCCCAATGCTCGCCCCGTGTTCCGATTCGCTCTCTAATACGGGGGCGATACTTTCCGGTTTTACATAGGGTGTTTACAGGAAATAACAAACACGTATACGGAAATTGTATAATTCTATAAGATATAATTATGTATAAATCAAAACAACCAGTATTTGTGGTTTGTTTTAACTCGATTAGAAGACCGAAGTTCAATGAAATACTTCCTGAAAGGAAGCTAGAAACTCAAAAAAAAGTGCATTCACATGTATAGCATATGCACGCAAATCGAAGCCCATTTTTAAGCAATTTTGTAACGCATACATGTACCTTACATTACCGTTACAATACAATCCGTTAATTATTATTGCTCCTGTATTGTCCATTGTTTGATATCAATGTCACTCCTATAGTGTCCACTCTTATATGTAATATAGACAATACTGGAGAAGTAAATTGTAACTAAGATCTGTGACCTAGCTTTATTAACAGGGATCTGGGCCCGTATTCATGAATCTATTCTATTCTTATGCCCAAGCCAACTTTCTTGCCACTCGCGTAAATTATATGTCATTGTCAAAAAGTTAAATGTAAAAATTAAACACAGTATTCGGCTTTTACTTCTTCAACCATTCTTCCAAATCCTAGACAAAATGTGATTTTCTATTAAGTTATCATCGGAACAAGAAATTGTGCTTGAGCACAGATTTAGAGCTTGAGCGTGAGAACGGTTTCATGAATACGGACCCTGTGTAATGATTGTTGAATGCACAATAATGATGTGGGAGTGATAATGAGTGTTGATTGCACAATACATATACGTATATATCATTTGTAATTTATTGTAAAGTATAGATATCCAATAAGTTGTCAAACTTAAGGAATAAAAGTTGAATTGTGTATGTGTGTATGTGTGTGTGTATCATATTGTATGTTGTCTCTGTATTGTTTTGTATATATGTTATGACTGATAAGTCAACCGACTTAAAGTAATAAAGAACTTGACTGTCCCTGGCAAAAAAAAAGAAAAACGTCGGTCCTTATGGTGTTGACTGTCATCTGTCCATGTAGTCTATACCATACGGCATAAGTCCGAATACAAGCTGATGTATACGTATTAACACGAACGTGCATTTTTTGATGCGACTAAAAATGCAAAAAAATAAATAAAAATCAAAATCTAATGGAACAGATTCATTACCCAATTAAACAGGAATAGTACACGAAGCGATCGGTATAGCGGTATCGCAAGCCTTTAACTCATTCACCCCTGAAGACGCCATTGAACTCTTCCAATTTAAAGGTTAGAATAGTTCATTCTGAAACTTCAGGGGTGAATGAGTTAATGACGGTGCGGTCAATGAGTGGCATTCTCTGATGTTATCGACAATATTAACGTTATATAACAGTGTTTAGGTTAATGTGTAACGACAACATAAATCATATCTAAAGGTAAGTATACGTCACGCAGTTTAATTTAAACATATTTTATTGCTGAATTAGATTAGACAGAAGTTGTAAAACTTACAAAAGCCTTTCCCCAAAAGTCACATATAGGATACGACCCAGCAGAATTTTAAAGGTATATTGTTCTTATCTACATCATCATAGCCTTGTCACATTCCTCAGAGAATCATCAAACGGAAGGTGGAATTCAAAGAATCCCAAAGTATGTCTCGGATCAGCATTGATGTATAAATTGACCGTAGTGTTCGAAATGAGTTGATGCAATCATAACTCAACATGATCCTGGTGCTGCATCACAGAAATAGAAGTTAGCTTCACGAAGGGGAGAGGTGGTGGTGGTGGTGGTGGTGAAAGGTCCTTGTTGAGATCTTTAGTAAACGCTTCTAGATAAGTAGCTACACAAAATAGTTGCTCGGTCATGCATGCATCTATCACTCCCAAAATTATTACCAAATTAATACATTGCCATTTCGCATGAAAATAATTTAACCCGTAAACTCATTTTTTAAATTAATTTCTAGAGTAATATTGTAACACCCCCGTTAACACACTTCATCTTCTTTAACGGAGTTAGCCGTAGATACTGCGATCGCATTGCGGGCTTTGAAGAGTTAGCTGACTTTTGACACATTCCGTACTTTGACGGAGTTAGCCGGTATGTTGCGATGGTAATAAGCGATTTAACGGAAATAGCCGAGATATAACGAATACAGTCCATGCTTTGCCTTCACTGGCCGAAATGTTGTTACAGTGGCTGTTTCGTTTGATTATTTCAAAGTTAATCCCTATGTGATACGTGACGTCATAATATTTGTGCTTTGGTCAGTTGAAGAATATCTGCCATCAAAATAGTCTGCACAATGTCTGTCTGCTATTGTACTTAAATCCTAGGTAAGAGATCAAAGAAAAAAAAAGGCCAGGTAAGTGTCAGAGATATTGCACAAATGTTACTATTATAAGGCTTAAACACCCATATCACATTTACTTCAAGGAACTTTGTCCTTTAGCTAAGATTGTTTATAAAACACTGGCCCATGAAGCTTCCGTAATTAGATCAGAACATTCCCGCTTATCTCTTGGCCAATTAAAACCAAGGTGCACTACTACACTACTGCAGGCAAAAACGCATTGTTACGTATACATTGACATCGTTATCTAGCAGTTGGAAATCTTGAAACCGTTTACAAATTGGCCAATTACATGACAAACCGTGGTCTGTGTTATCTGTGTGCTGGACAAGGAAGTTTGTGTGTAGGCCAGTACACCATTCGGCATGGTTTTTATCCTTCTCAATAACGTTGATAATAAACGTGCACAAAACACTTCAATGGGATTGTAATGTGGATCGTATATGGTAATAATTCGGTGTTTCTTGTTGGAAAAGCCATTGTCGTATTTAAACGTGCAGCGACTAACGATCTCGTTCCTTTCTGTGTCTCGATTTTCTGTTAACCAATCGTGCATTGGATCTATTTCAAAATGGACAACCAACAAACTGGTCCACTGATTAAAAATATGGACAACCCACAAACTGGTCCACTGATTAAAAAAATGGACACCCCACAAACTGGTCCACTGATTAAAAAAATAGACAACCCACAAACTGGTCCCCTGATTAAAAAAAATGGACAACCCACAAACTGGCCCACTGATTAAAAACATGGACAACCCCCAAACTGGTCCACTGATTAACAAAATAGACAACCCACAAACTGGTCCACTGATTAACAAAATGGACAACCCACAAACTGGCCCACTGATTAAAAACATGGACAACCCCCAAACTGGTCCACTGATTAAAAATATGGGCAACCCCCAAACTAGTCCACTGATTGAAAATATGGACAACCCACAAACTGGTTCACTCATTAAAAATATTGACACCCCACAAACTGGTCCACTGATTAAAAAAATAGACAACCCACAAACTGGTCCCCTGATTAAAAAAAATGGACAACCCACAAACTGGCCCACTGATTAAAAACATGGACAACCCCCAAACTGGTCCACTGATTAAAAATATGGGCAACCCCCAAACTAGTCCACTGATTGAAAATATGGACAGCCCACAAACTGGTTCACTGATTAAAAATATTGACAACCAACAAACTGGTCCACTGATTAAAAATATGGACACCCCACAAACTGGTTCACTGATTAAAAATATTGACAACCAACAAACTGGTCCACTGATTAAAAATATGGACACCCCACAAACTGGTTCACTGATTAAAAATATTGACAACCAACAAACTGGTCCACTGATTAAAAATATGGACAATCCCCAAACTAGTCCACTGATTGAAAATATGGACAGCCCACAAACTGGTTCACTGATTAAAAATATTGACAACCCACAAACTGGTCCACTGATTAAATTAGATTTGCAAATAGACAACCCACAAACTGGTCCACTGATTAACAAAATGGACAACCCACAAACTGGTCCACTGACTAAAAAAATAGACAACCCACAAACTGGTCCACTGATTCACAAAATGGACAACCCACAAACTGGTCCACTGACTAAAAAAATAGACAACCCACAAACTGGTCCACTGATTCACAAAATGGACAACCCACAAACTGGTCCACTGATTAACAAAATGGACAACCCACAAACTGGCCCACTGATTAAAAACATGGACAACCCCCAAACTGGTCCACTGATTAACAAAATAGACAACCCACAAACTGGTCCACTGATTAAAAACATGGACAACCCACAAACTGGTCCACTGATTAACAAAATGGACAACCCACAAACTGGTCCACTGATTAAATTAGATTTTTAATTAGATTAAAAAAAAAGAAAACTTTTGTTATACTGTTTAAAGCAAAGTTATTACAAATGAACGAATTACTAGTAATATATATTGTGTTAGTATTTTCGATATCTTTTTAATCGATTTCTGTACAGTCAAACAGGTTTTTCCTTTTTCTATTTACTTTGAAAATAGTTATGTTTCGTGTTTCAAGATAATTCGTTTAAGACTAATTATTAATTACCAAGTTACTAATTTTCCAATATACGCTCCGTATTTCGTATTCCTTATAGTCATTACGTCCCAAGTTTGTTGACACAGCCTGTCATATATTGCTGTAAATACTTCCTTAATTGGACTTTAAATATCGTTTTGATTTTCAAATACTTCGTGTTTCTGGTGTTTATTTTAGAATATTTTAACTGAGTTCCCCTGTGCTAATCACGGTGATTTAGTGTTAACAAGCATGCCTGTACATGTATAAGGAGGTAGCATGTCATCCTTACACTTTACTAAGCACGCAATAACGGTTATGGCAACAATGCATAATTCATTTGAAAATTCCAATTATCTGTACTGAACAGTCGTACAGCCGGAAAATTCCTCCAGTATTTATAAAAATAAAAGATTACGCTAGGCATAAGACTGGTATTCTTCCACTGAAACAGACCACGAAACGTTACTCCAATTTTCAAATATTCCAAAAATTTTGATCCAACTCTATACGGACGCCTGTCAAGTATGTTTATTACATATCATATATCGATATGATTCTATGAATAGAAACACGAGCACGAACTGTAGATACGGCCTGTCTATCGACTTAGCAATTAAATTAAAATTAACCATGAAGTTAGAATAGAACTCGGTGTTACCATCATCGGTTATAATTATACTGGGTCCGTTTCATGACCGCATACTCAGTTACCCGGCTCCTACAGGGTGTTGAGCAGAGTGTGCCGAGTGCAATGTAAAACGGGGTATCCGGAGTGAAATGGACCCTACTAGGATGCTTTGTTACAAAAAGTTCAAGATATTGGCTATTGATTTTTTGTAATAAAGGACATATTTCACACAATTGTAAGATAAGAAGGTAAATTATTTTAAAATAACTTGACGGATAGTGTAAGAAATAACGTTAGGAGTATCTGATCATGAGAAGACACTGAGTGTTGGTGTGTGAATAGTGTTCTGTGGGTGAATAGTGTTGGGAGTGTGAATAGTGTTCTGTGGGTGCATAGTGTTCTGTTGGTGAATAGTGTTGGGAGTGTGAATAGTGTTGGGAGTGTGAAAAGTGTTCTGTGGGTGAATAGTGTTCTGTGGGTAAATAGTGTTCTGTAGGTGAATAGTGTTCTGTGGGTGAATAGTGTTCGGAGTGTGAATAGTGTTGGGAGTGTGAATAGTGTTGGGAGTGTGAATAGTGTTGGGAATGTGAATAGTGTTCTGTGGGTGAATAGTGTTCGGAGTGTGAATAGTGTTCGGAGTGTGAATAGTGTTGGGAGTGTGAATAGTGTTGGGAGTGTGAATAGTGTTGGGAATGTGAATAGTGTTGGGAGTGTGAATAGTGTTCTGTGGGTGAATAGTGTTCTGTAGGTGAATAGTGTTCTGTGGGTGAATAGTGTTGGGAGTGTAAATAGTGTTGGGAATGTGAACAGTGTTGGGAGTGTGAATAGTGTTGGGAGTGTGAATAGTGTTCTGTGGGTTAAGAATGTTTGGTGTGTGATTAGTGTTCGGTGGGTGAATATTATATATATTGAGGTATCTTTTTAAGGTAAATGTATATGTAAGGAGAGATGGTTTCTGAAGGGGTGAATAATATGTTGGATCGGAAGATTGTTTGAAAGATGTTGGGATGGAGTAACGGCGTGGTTGGGAGGGGGAAACACATTAGAATGTATTACACGATATAAACCCCTAAAACGTGTAAAATAACTCTGAACACCTAAGTTTAGGTCAAAATACAGTGGTAATAAATTCTCAGATTCCGGTGTCCTTTCAGACCAAAAAGGCTTTCTAGCTCCCAAAATCATAGTGACAAAGCGCTTAGAAGTTTGAAAATATAGATACTTTCTCTTATTATAACATTCGAGGTACATGTACAATGAAACTGTGTTCTTTTTACACTTCTCAAAGCACGCGGATAAAGGTTTGTGTACAAGGGTAGACTTTTGTGTATATTATGTGGGAAGCTAGTGGGGTAGATTGTATGTGGGCGGACAGAGGAGTTACGTTTACTGGGTGAAGGAGATCGTGTTAGCTCAGGTGCACTACCTATTTGTAATACCCTGTGTGTTTAAATCAGGAACTCTACACACGAGTCAAATCAGGTGTTTAAACCACTAGCAATAATCCACAGAGAGACACATTTCTCACATTCTTTAAATGCATCAAGTGCCGACCATAAAAATCGTAAAAGAATGTTGATCTAGGTCTGATATTACAAGTATCAGTGCCTCCTGAAATACCTAACTGTCTGCAAGAGGATATATCTTAGTGTTGCAGAGTTCAGCAGCTAGAGAATTCTTGTTTCAAGATTTACGTTTTAATTGTATCTTCATGTGTCCATGAGTATTGCATTATGGTGTTAAATAGGGTCGAAATTAGCAGAATCTACAAGCTAGAGAATTATTATTTCAAGTTTTATTTTTTTATTTGTATCAGTCATGTGCCCATGAGCATTGCATTATGACGTTATATAGGGACAAAATTATATCGAATTAGCGGTTATGACAGGCCACAATGATATCATACCATGATTATATAACCCGCTTGTATGACTAGCATGAGTATGGAACAGAGTGAAAAGGTTAAAAAAAAACTGCTGTTAACACAATGTTTCAAAATATTCGATATCATTCAACAAATCAGATTTTTTCTTCTGTAATATTAAACGACTTCACTGTATAACGATATCTAGAATCCTAATTATTTCAGATTTCAAACAATTGTTATCAATCGTAGTGTCTAAGTTTCTAATCAAATAAAATTATGAGATGATACATTATCACTTGCACTTTGGAGTTTTACGGAATAATTATCTAACGTTTGTAACCGGAACCCCTTTCTCACGTCCCTCCCCCTCCCGAATGACGCATGGCTCACGTCTAACTCGATAAGACCAATGATAAGATGGGGAGGATACTTTGGTCACTGGAATCAGACACATATTGTTCTCCCTAGCACAGAATCTTTTGAGTCATCAAGGTCATCTGATAATGTTCAAGATCTGACAACTTAACTCAAGAAAAAAAGAAAGTTTCCTGTACATAAAACAAGTAGATTAATTTAACAAATTTATCGGAAAATATCAAAGATTAATGCTCTATTCAAGTTGAATAATTTTATTTTAATTCAATTAACTGTAAAGTGAAAAATTGATTGAGAAAAATTAGTGACATGATATTATAGGAATATAGCTGTAAAGCTAACAATACTTAATGATGCAGTGTCCCAGATATAGGTAGCATAGATACTGTCGATTTCCAGCCTCCTCAGCAGCTGAAATGATTCAGTGCTAGCCTGAGTCAGGACTGCTCCAGATGTGTTCCGGTTAGAAGTACTAACCCAGTACATATACCTGCTGTTTACAGTAATATATGGGATCCTGTATACCTGTGTCTTAATTATGATTCAATCATGACCGAGTCGTTGCTTTGTTCTCAAAGAATCTATTATACAGATATTGAAATTAAAACCCGATAAGTTAATGCACGAAAGCCTGTTTAATAGTCACATGACCGCCATCTCCTATAGGAAATGAAGCTTTATATAATACCATCAAACATCAAATCCTTTATATATAGGAAAATAGATATTCCGATGTAAGTAACATGTTTGTTTTCCATGTATCGTGTACACAGTTAATGTCTGTTTGTTTAATTGTAATTAAACAAAAGGTATTTACATTCGTTCGGAAGTTGTTGTTCCTGATCACGATTTGAATTTTATTTTCATTATTATGTCTTGAAGTACAAATGTACCTAGACATTAAACATGATTGATTAAACTGACGGGATGTAAAATGTAAAACAGCAATTTGAAGTTTTGATCAAATATTCAACAGATAAGTCCAAACAAATTTTTGTTTGAAATGAGGAGAGGTCATCGTACAACATATCAATATTATTTCATTCTTTTGTCTGAAATGAAGACACGTGATCTTACAAGATATCAATATTATTCCATTCTTTTGTTTAAAATGAAGACACGTGATCTTACAACATATCAATATAATTTCATTCTTTTGTTTGAAATAAAGAAACGTGATCTTACAGCATTTCATTACTATTTCATTTTTTTGTTTGAAATGAAGACACGTGATCTTACAACATTTCAATATTATTTTATCTTTTGTTTGAAATGAAGACACGTGATCTTACAACATATCAATATTATTTCATTATTTTTTTTTGAAATGAAGACACGTGATCTTACAGCATTTCAATATTATTTCATTCTTTTGTTTGAAATGAAGACACGTGGTCTTACAACATATCAATATTATCTCTTTTTTTTTGTTTGAAATGAAGACACGTGATCTTACAACATTTCAATATTATTTCATTCTTTTGTTTGAAATGTAGACAGGTGATCTTACAACATATCAATATTATTCCATTCTTTTGTTTAAAATGAAGACACGTGATCTTACAACATATCAATATAATTTCATTCTTTTGTTTGAAATAAAGACACGTGATCTTACAGCATTTCAATACTATTTCATTCTTTTGTTTGAAATGAAAACACGTGATCTTACAGCATTTCAATACTATTTCATTTTTTTGTTTGAAATGAAAACACGTGATCTTACAGCATTTCAATATTATTTCATTCTTTTGTTTGAAATGAAGACAGGTGATCTTACAACATACCAATATTATTTCATTCTTTTGTTTGAAATGAAGACACGTGATCTTACAACATAACAATATTATCTCATTTTTTTGTTTGAAATGTAGACACGTGATCTTACAGCATTTCAATATTATTTCATTCTTTTGTTTGAAATGAAGACAGGTGATCTTACA